TTTTTTTTTTATTAATTTTGTTTTTTTTTTCTTTTGTTTTGTTATTATTATTATTATTATTATTATTGTTGTTGTTGTTGTTGTTAACGCAATGGAAATATTTTTCCGGTCTACACGAAGGGCGATTTATCAAAAAAAAAAAAAAAAATAAAAAAAATAAAAAAAAAAAATTATTACATTAAATTTATTAAAAATTTGCTATCCTTCAACACCTTTTGTGTATTTCAATAGATAAATGTATAAATACGTATTTCCTATGGAATTTTTTTGTGCTTTAATTTTATGCAAAATTTTCAAATTTAATTTAGTTTTTTTTCTAACAAAACATCACAAATGTTTCTTTTTCTATAAATCTATTGGAATTAATTGATCTTGTAAGAAAAAAGCCATACATTATGGAAACAGTTGAAAATGCATCGGTGTATGCCTTTAGGCTCCTTTAGACCGAAACGGCAGCGTTTATTCTGCTTTTGTTCGTTCACTTTCTTGTTAATGATAGGGTTTCAAGTGTTCCACATAATTTTCGGGAATAAGTCCGCTTTTTCCGCTTAGCGTGCCTTGCAACCAGCCAGGTTCATGTGAAAATCCCACTGAATAATAAAAAAGATAACAAATATATATATATTTCACAAATTATTTGCATACGTGTTGCTTTAACTGAATTATCATTCATTAACTTTCATACTAACTTAGAACGCAATGAAAAACCGTATCGAAATTAAATTCACTTTACGCTTTCAACGCTTGTTAAGCTGAGAGATTGATTGACCATAAATTTCAATAATAATAATAATTTCGAGCTTCATTCATTTTGGCCCTCCACTGGAATTTAAATAATAATAACGGTAATTTCCTAGTCTAACATCTCGGCTAATATGTTTCGGGACTGGCTGGTATGTGTGATCTCTAATAAAAAATTCACATTATTTTTAGAAAATGTTAAACTTGAAACGACGCCTGCGAAACATTGATGCCATTTTAAATGCTTTGCGTAACGCGCTTTGTAGCGGTATTAGTGAAGCTACATTTTTTTTTTTTTTTTTTTTTTTTTTTTTTTCAAAGTAATTGATTCGAATTTCTTTAATTAATTAATGAACGAAGTATTGGGTTTTGTTCGAAAAAAAATAGGATGACGAATTGCGGACTTTAAATACTCTCATATGGATGTCGATGAAATCGAGGTCATTGTGCTTATTCTCGCTAATCGAGAAGTGAGGTTATGATAAATATCTAACATTCTAAGTATGTCGGAGGGCTGCGTATTGCAAAAAAAATTTGAGCAAGAGAAAATTATTCTTTAGAGGACTTCGTGTCGAAAGGATTCGATAATTGCCATAATAAAGTTATATGAACTGAAATTTGAACTGTTGTTCCATCCACATTGTGTTCGCTCGCCAGATCTTGCCTCTAGCTCTTATTATATAGTTTGTGAATTGCAAAAAAGTGCTCAACAAAAAATGTTTTTTACTTTATTCACAGTTCCTTCTACAGTTCGAGAAAAATGCCCTCAAAATAGTAAAGAAGCATTAGCTTAATTGACATGAAATGGATCACAAAACCTATCGTTGAGATGAAAAAAGTTTACAAAAGAGCAATATGCAAATATAACAATTACCGTTCGTAATAATCTGGTTGGGCTCAAATGACAATTCGCCTTCGCTTTCCCCCAAGCAAGCATAAAGTGTACGAACACGCCTAAATGAGTAAAATTGATTGATTGATATCAATGCCATATTTTGTTTTTAAAAAAAAAGAAGGGAATTGACTTACGCTGTGCCCGCATCCAAATCTCGTTTAATCTGGTTGACATCTTTGCTGCGATGCATTTTCTGAGGCGTATAATCGCTTGATGAAGCAGTACCTGTGCAGCCGACAATCATGGACGGTGCTGCAGTAGCTGCAACTATATCATCGCAGGTGGATCCTAAAAGAGTGGAAAGCGAACTGGCTTGAGAAGAATGTGGCACGTAATCAATAGAGCTGCGTGTTGATAGCAGACGTCCAGTACCGCTGCCACTGCCACCACCACCACCACCACCACCACCACCTACGCCACCAACACCACTACCACCAACACCACCACCATTTATTGAAGAAAATGAATCACAAACACTTTCGTTGGAACTTGAAGTGGAAGCCGCGGCTACGGAGGAATAATGTTTCGATTGGGGATATGGCAGGTGATTGCTGCGTTGCAATTGAACAGGTGGATGCTGTTGAGGGCCGCCACCAGTTCCAAATAAAGCTTCCTTGCGGATGGCCAACGTTGGAGGTGACACGTTATTTAAGCTCATGCGATGGCTCGAGGCGTTATTGCCACCACCTGTTGAATAAATATGGCTGCCGCTGCTTGCAACGACCGATGTAGCAGCAGGGGTAGCGGTGGCCATAAGATATTCATGACGTAAACTTGTCGCATTAGCAGGCGTGGCATGGTGAGCAGTCAATCCACCGTTTGTACTAGAGCTTAACATGCCGTAAACAGAATCACCTGCATTACCACGACGTAAACTGATATCGCTCTGCGACATGGAATGTAAATTCTTAACACTGCCCATATTGCTATTTAAACCAAGACTTTTAGGTCCAGTGCCACCGCCGCTACCATTAGTATGAGCATTCAATATACCACTATTTGTACCGTTAGTAGTATTACTACCAATTCCCCCTGCACCTCCACCTAAAGAATTTCCACCACCACTACTGTGGGCATAGATCATACCATTAGGAATATTTTGTAGACTTGAAGACATCGGCGAATCCGGAAAATTTGATTTGGTGACCACGCGATACACTTGCTGTTGCGGGGAATACATAGAATTGCGACCCACCGAACCACCGCCACAATTAATCCCTACAATAAGGGTTTTACCAATTTGACTAGCTCTTGGCACACGCACTGGTGGACTAGAGGCGTTAGACTGACAATCAGGAGCTCCCACCCATGTACTGGGATCATTTTTAAAAATGCGTTCATAATTTTCGATTAAAATATTTATAACAATATTATTGAACTTAATATCCAATATGGCAGCCACAGTTTCTTCTTGTGGACGCAATAACGTTGGACCAAAAACTACGCCTAGATTAAAAACGGACATTTTGTTTTTCTCAAATTTGCGCGATACCCTGCAAACATAGTTTTGAGAATAAACAAGATAAGATAATCGATCAATGCTTTAAGATATATTTATAGCATTTGTTACGTACTCGGTTAAATGCCTAATTACTAGATCCAACATTTCGAAATTCACCTCTGGTAATTTATAAACCAATTTATGTACCTCGTTAACGCGTTGATTTAAATTCTCTTGTTCTGCAAGCGCAAAAAAAAAAAAAAAAAAAAATTCATTCAATTATGCGAACAATATAAATAAAATAAATATGAAACGTTGAGGATATTATACGTACTTGCTGCTTCTATAAAACCGCTATGATAGCGATATGTCATAAGGGGTTCATTCAAATTACGTAAATATGTTTTTAGAGCACTAGCTATGGTATTGCTTTCCATTAGATCTCGGTATTGCTCATCGGTAAATACATTTTCTGCTTTTTTTCGGTCCATACCCAAAGTCAATAGCTTATTAATTTTGGTACCAACACCACTCTTACGATAAATACCCTCATCTTCTAGACCACGACTCTCGAGCATCTCTATGCATTTACGAACAAATGCGAAGCCAGCCTCATCCAACTGATATTCCTCACCGGCCTTAATTTTACCGGGAGCTAAATAAGTCTATAGCGCATTTTTAATCAACAAAATTATTTAACAGATAAAATGAGAAACGCATACCGGTTCGGCGCCGTCCATGGCATTAATCCACGCTCTGCGATCTTCCTCACTCAGCGCTTGAAATGTGTAAACAATGCCGGGCTTCTCTTTAAATGTTAAATCAAAGCAAAAGCGTTTTTCAAATTCTGATGCCCGTCTTTGGCATGACATCAATGTGAGCTTCTCTTCTTCGCGTTGCTCCGGCCTCGCGAAGCTATGGTTCATTTGATTGAATTGAAGCATAGTAAATTCCTTCTTTTGTTTCCGATACGTACAATAGTACTTCGTCCATGTTGCTTTGAATGGCTCTAAAAGGGAAATTTTCAAAAGCGAACCTAATTTAAGCATTAATCTCAGTTCCAACATTTAATTTTACTAAATAATTTAGAAAATATACCAGGTATAGAAGAAAGTCTTAAAATATAATTAACTTATTTATACATCCGATACAGGAAAGGTCTCGCAAAGACATTGTATTATCAAGTTGTACACATATATTTTCCTTTAAAATAGTTATGTATTTTCTAGACGTCTGTACACTCAATTAGATCAGAACAAATTGTAAGTAAATCGAGGCATAACAGACATAACATAACAGCTTGTAACCGGGAAAACGTCGATGTCCTTGAAAAGCTAACTTGTTCGGTAGTAAATGGACACAGCGCTGGATTCACTTTCTATTCAATAAATACTCAAGAAACCTTATGGAGACAGACGGACGATCGAAATTCTCTTACGCGACGGCCTGATATTGTGCCCAGGATTATTCTACACCCTATCCTACTTATGATTTCCTTGCGACCATAATTTTGTGTAACAGCAGACCCAGAATATTCCATACTGAACAAAACTGAACAAGAATTAAAGAAAGAGCAGACGATTTTTCAGGTACAATACAAAATATCCAACATAGCCATTGTTGGCGATTTTTAATGTCAGACAAACATATCGTTTAAGTTTACGAATTTTTGTCTTCGCACGGAACCCAATCTCCTTTCATCACTCAACTCTCCTCCCATTTTGCTTTTTTCTTTCTTTTGCTCAAAAGCAAAACCATTAAAAGCAAGTGTTATCAACTAGCACGAAGGTTAAAGGAGTAGATGTTATCGCGATCGCGAAAGTACATGTTCGATAAACTTTTTCGAATATTTCAACTATATATAGAATTACGAAAGAGTTTTTAAATAAAATTTTGCGGAAATTTGAGGCAGAAAAAAAAAGAAGAAAAATGAAAAGAAAGTTTCTTATTAAATCTAATAAATGACTCAACTTACTTTTTTCCATTAAAAACAAATAGCCGCGTTTAGTGAACTTCTCCTCCGATTTCTAAAATTCAAAGAACAAAAGTCGTTCAAAGTCGTTCGTGATATACATTGATTTTTTTTTTACTTTAGAAAATTATTGATACTTACTGTTCGTTTTTCCATGTACTTCAATTTTAATTCTGTTACCTTTTCCCGAGCTTCTTCAAAGTTTTCCCGAGTCTGGAATTTTTAAAAGCGAAATTCATAAAAGTCCAAAAGATTGTTTTAGTATGAAAGAAATGCTAGCCTACCTTTTGAACTTTATGCCTTAGGTCCTGTAAATAGTCGCGATTATCTTCGGCTTGCTCGTGAGCTGTATGATAGAAAACTAACCAGCTCGATATGAAGGCCAACAGAATTTCGACAAATTCAAATTTTATACGTTCTTGAACCTCTTGAATGCGTAACACATAACTTAAAGATTCTTGGACATATTCGCGCTCATGCATACCTAAACTAGCATCGGCCTGCAATTAAAAATATATATAAAATAACCTCAAAACAATGAGCAAACTGTAGATAGATAGGATAATAGCATTAATTTGTAATTTTTTTTTTTTTTCTTAAATAAAACAAAAGTATGCAGTCATTCAAAGCCGATTCATTTTTTTCTAACACAATGCTTCACTAAAAACATCATATAACGGCTTAGTTATTAAAAGTATCTTCATCTTGGGAAAGGATCCCAAATATAGAATAGTGTAGTACAAACTTAGCATATTAAATTTACATGTTTAGTTACTGTAATATTTACTTTGTTTATTAACTTTAGTTAATAAAGTCATCATAATTATATCCTCTTTTCAGGTAAAGATTTATTTTCTTCTTTTCCAGAAAGTTTTTTATACGGGACGGGAGTTAAAAAGTCGTCCGAAGCTTATAATAAAACTTATGCGAAATGAAAGATAAGCAATTAGTTATACCCATGTATCTGAGCTATAATACTCACTCTCTGCTAATTAATAAGACTCTTCAAATCAGTAAATCGGAAATTATTAAAGAAAAATTCCGATACGACTTTAAATTCGTAGATAACTACGAATTTTGTTCCATAGAAATATCATTATTGGTTTGCTTTCCGGTCGATCTTCAATAATTTTCGAATAGACTTTCGTGTGTTTTTTTTTTTCCTACAATTTCTTCACACAATCATTGGGAACTTATCTCTCTACTAATCATTTAGACAAAAAATTGGTCGCAAACGGTCTACAAGACTTTTTTGTTTCAGTACTTTATAATGAATATAGGACCAAATTAGTAAGACCAAAGAGTTATGTACTCACTGCGCTAAATTTGGACCATATAAGGCTATAATTTGGATATCCTCTTATGTATTGTAAGGCTTCTCATGAGAAGTAAGTGCTTACGTTTCAGTAGAAGATACAATTTTGGATATTGTGTGAAATAGTTGGCACAAAGTACATATATTTGTAATTAGCATCAAATTTTGAATCGATTGAAGCATGTCTGTCTGTCCGTATATAATAATTCTCCTGACCTGAAAGATGAAACCATCGACTTGAAGACTTGGCAGAAAGATTGCAAGTTTTTATATATCAGTTGGTATTGAAAATGGGCCAAATCGATCGAAGGACACGCCTACAATACTACGCAAACTGAGAATACTTTTGTTTTTCAAAAGGTATTAAAAAAAAATTGGTTTTCTACTTATTACTCATAAACTACAAAGGCGATACTGCAGTTGTTTGTACAAAAATTGGGAAAATTGACCACGCCTCGCCAATATTATACGGTTTCAAAATTTAATTTTTTTTGCAACACCTTTATAACACGCAGAAGCTTATGTGGAATTTTCAAAAAATTCCATAAAGTATCTAAATTCTTGGTCAGTCTCAAGTTGGGAATGCGTCTGTGATTATGTTCGTCTATCCATCTGTCAGTCTGCTTAACTATGCATTATCTACGTTAGACATTCGTCCGTTCGCAAAAATGAAGATATCGCTTGCAAATTTGCCAGAGAATCCGCAAATGATCTAGACCATTCAAAGGATACGCCTGCAACGCCCACATCCCTGTGTACCAAGACACTTGAAGCACTTTTGGTTTTCGTGTTTTTTGCTTGTCGCTCATAACGTTCAACACATAAATCTCTCCGCTTTTATTCTGAAAATAGATAAAATCAGCCACGCCCATCCAATATTATAGAATATGAAAATGTAGTTCCATTCCTTTTTTTTTTTTTTTTTTTTTTTTTTGGTATTTTTTAGAATAACGGTGATGGGTATAAAAGATCCGAGATCAAGACCAATTATAATTTCCTTACTTGTTCAACTAAATCTTTCAATGTAAACTAAGAAGATAAGAGAAAATATAATTTGAAATTGAGAAAATCGAACTAACTTTGGTTTTTAAGATTTTATAAATTCTCTGCTTAATAATTTTCATAAGAACTAATCGAAATCTAAAGAAAAAAATTATGAAATGACGAAAATCTATAAAAAAACATAATCTTCTTATGTCAAGGAAACTATTAATACCTATATATCTTTGCCATTTTATGAAGCTAAGCACAATAATCAGCGGTTAAATGCTTTTCTTCTATTTTATGGGAAAAGAATCGAAAATGAAAAACAAAAAAAAAAATTATTTTGTTTGACGTGACCACAGTTTTTCACTCCTGATATGTTGCGTTAACGTTCACAATGTCTTCTAATCGACCAACAGCAGCTATTGGCTTAGTCCATCTCTACTCAACAAACCAAAAATAAATAAAAAAATAAAAAGTAAAAAAATAATCGACCAACATATATAGTTATAGTAAATGAATTTATAAATCGTAAATTATGAAGAATATCTATCTAGACCTATAGACCGTTAGCATCTCTATTGAATGCGGAGAGATATTTTCAAGTTGAATGATAATTTTGTATACATCTTGAAATATCTCTGATGATGTTGAACGAAAAAAAAAAAAAAAAAAAAAAACAACTTTTTCCATGCATGCATCCTTATATCTATGCACAGGAATATATTTGGTATACATATAAAAAATGAAACTACTTATGCTTGCTCGAGTGTTTACATAAATCTTTGAGTATATAATATAGCTAATAAGGTAGGTAAGTTAACAAAAAAAAAAAAAAAGAAAAAATGTTAAATAAAAAATAAATAAATAAATAAATTAATATATATATACACACACATAAGTATTATTAGTTGCAATATATATAGATTCTTTAACGTCGTTCCAAATTTATTCATCCTAACGCATCCCCAAAAATGTGTTGTGCGCAAATAAGAACATTTTTATTTTCACTTCGATGCCTTCATCATATAAATTTCATTTAATTTCGCACTCTCACTCCCTAATATTGTTAACTTTTTCTCAATAGTAAAATTTAATTATATTTTTTACATTATTTATCGATTGTTGTTTATCGGAAAGTTAATAAATAATTTTTATCAAATTTGATATATTGTTTTTAAAGTTAAATAAAATTGAATTTTGCCTTTAATTTTGAAGAGAGGAAGAAAATGGAGAAGAAAAATTTTTAAATTTTAAAAGGATTTTTTATTACAGCACTCAGCGTTAAGTTTATACGGTTAATAAAAGAAAATTCCAACAGTAGCCGAACGCACATAAATGTAATCACTGACGTTAAATTGCACCATAGAATAAAATAGAAACTCGCAAACAGGGACGGAGGAGTCGTAACGAAAATCAAAGAGTTTGAACGCGAAGGTACAGGAAAAATAAAGAAAACGAAGTAAGAAACACAAATATATATATATAGTCAAGTGGAAAATAATGACATACCGACAAAAAGCTCAACTCTTCTTGCCTCACGACGGCAACGACAACACCAAGAGGATAATTTCCTATCAAAAGTACATACTACCACCAGTCAGCTTGTACGATTACCATGTGTGTGTATCCATCAAAAAGCGTAAATGTTAACAAAATTGCGTTGCGTTATGGTTGTTGTTCACTGGGTGCTGAGAAACACAATTATATCAACTTAAAGTTGATTAGGGTTGGTCATATGTATATATCTATCTTATATATGTAGGTATATACGCATATACGCGTATGTGTAGCATATGTATATATACATATATATTTATATATTTATATATATATACATATATATTTATATATTTATATATATGTATATATATATATATATATGTAGGTGTGCGTATGTATACACATAGGCTAATTTGTTGTCGTCATACAGTATGGAGAACACATTTTACAGAGCATGTGTAAAGAGAAATTAAGAGATTTATTGAGAGAGAGAGAGAGAGAAACAAAGAGAGAGAAAGGGAGAGGGAGAAATATCACAGTTTATAAAACTAAAAAAGCTACAATTTACGGTAGATATTATTATTATTCGCATTGTGTTTACGCGGCAGATGGGGACTCATTGTGCTTAGTGATTGGGGTTGATAGTCAATGACTTAACGTAGTGTTAGTGCGTTAACTTTTTACATCATCGTCCTGCCTCTTTATTTATTTTTGCTCCTTTTGTTTTAACCAAAATTAAATTGTTGCCCAAACATATAACACCTTTGGCCCAATGCAAGTCAAATGCCAAATGCAATAAGAATACGTTGCCAATGACGCGATTATATTTAATAAATAAGTTTCAGTTGACTTTTTTACAAAAATTAAAATTAATCTTCCTTACTGCTAAACATTTACAAACATAAAAATGAGAAGAGAAGAGAAGAGAAGAGAGAAATTATATATAATTTGATTCAAAATCTTGATAATCGTCTATATGTACGATATTATTATCGCGAAATCGCGAAATGACTTACGAATGAGTTATGAAGGAGGAACCCTCTGCAGATCTGCAATCGCTTTCAAATATATGTCTATTAGGAAAACTGATCGTTTCTCTTAAAAAAAATCTGATGTAATTTTTATTGAGTTGAAATGTTTGGCTCGGATGCTAGTGTTGGCAATTTAACTGAGAGTGCGAAAGATGCCCGTCCTAAAGTATATGCGAAGGCATAATAAAAACCATTTGCAAGTTGCTTAGTGCTATTACGTACAGGGGATAGATAAATAATATGAAAATTGCGCGCAATATGATATACCATCTTGTTGAATGTTAGCAACACTGCATGCATGTAAATAATGCGATGCGTATGTGTTGCACATAAAGCGTGCTAAGATGCTTTTAAATTATACTTCAGTGTATTATACGTTTTGTGCTGCGACGGTTGAACCATGAAATGTGTGTGAAATATGTAATTTATCAGACTTCAAAGCAGGGCAAATCGTTAGTTTTCGCTTAGCGGGAGCGTCTGTGACGCACACAAACTAAATTGTTGTAGACGTTTCATGAGCGACATTATCCGCGATAATGTTAGCGCATATGCAAAACATGTTCAAATATCATCGGCGGGGAGGCATAGTAGGCCAGCATTCCGTTAGAAATTATTCAGGCACTCTATGTATTCATTCCGCAAAGAATTGCAGCGAACAGTTAGAAGCAAATGACTACGCAACGCTATATTAATAAATTAATATTGTGTATTTGTCAGGTGTTCCTGGGGCCTATTGCGACGATTGGCGATGAAAAGTGGATGCACTACGAAAATCCCAGGCGTGAAAACGCGTGGGTTTGTCCAGGAGAGCCATCCACAACATCGACACCGAAGCGGATTATTCATGGCCATCAACTTGTGCTGTGTATATGATGAGATCCAGCAATGTGTAGCGTGCTACGAGATGGTAAAACCGAACGAAACTGTTAGTTCAGATGTCTACCAAACTCAAGTGAACAAATTGAAGGATGTATTGTTGCAAAAACAGACCAGCAACAGCGATTATACAAAACATGTCGAAACAACAAATTTCATCGAAATATCTCAAAAAGTGCGACCTGTAGTTTAAACACAGGAAAGCAAGACAGCAAGGCGGGCAGACGAGCAGACAAGCTTCGATATAATGAAAGGTCGGTTCATCTTGAGTCCTCTTGCTTTTACCGCTGCAAACATCCACACAAACTTAATATTCCCTTGTGTCATAAGTGGTGTAGGGTACAAAAATTTATTTAAAATTAATAAGAGTAAGCCCGCAGTGTCTTCTTGGGCTTGAGTTCGTCAGGTTTTTCATTATAGACGAGAATATGAACGGTAGGTAATTTAGGGGGTTTGAGCTTAAAAATAATACAACCGATGATACGGTCTTAAAAAAAACTTTCAATTAGAACGTGTATGTATGTATGATGTTTGTATTACGTAGGCAAATTTACGCGTCAATAAAGAGGAAGACACAAAAGCAAATGAATCAGTGAGCGACCGACTTAATATCATCTTTATGACGCATGTTAACGAAAAAAAAACTTGTTATTATAAATTTATTTATTGAAAATTCTCTACTGCATTTGGGAGTTGAACTCACGACCATTGAGTTATTAGTAAAGATCGTTTGCCTACTCGACTCTGGAAATTTACTAACGTTAGGCTTTAAAGTAATTGAGAAAAAATGTTCATATTTTTTAAGAACAACATTGAAGCACAACAACTTTTGGAAAAGAGTTTTTTTTCTTTTTAACCTACCTTACCGGGCCGCTGAAAATATAACTTAAAGTATAAGATTCACGACAGAATCATATTCGTAGTTAGAACAAACGAAAGATAAATTGAATTAGCCAGGGATAAGATGAGCCCGGGAAAACGCTTCAATTTTGAAGAAATCTACGCTTTATCCCTAATCCAACGATACCTGGAGCATGTAATTGATTTATTGCATTTGCAGATCGCTATAGGCATGAGAAGGAGTTTAAGTTTAATTTTTTTTTTTTTTTTTTCTTTTTTTTATCTTCAATTGTTGTTATTTACACTTGCGAAGCAGTCCACCGTTGTTTAAAACTTGGTACGTATATCTGTAGCTGATGGCCATTGATGGGTGGATCGTATCAAAAAGTATTGCTACGAAAACGGAAAACTGAAGAATTTTTGTTTATCGAAATCATGGAAAAAGACAATGTCCGTCATCTCACAATTCGCTTCCATGCAAATGTCTGTGTGGTCTAATGGTCAGGGGATTTCGGCTAACAATCACTCAATGGTCGTGGGTTCAAATCTCAATGGCGATAGAGCTATCAAATTAAGCTGTGACAATCTTAGATGCGGATGCTTTGTTTATTTGTGTTTGCATTTTCAATGCATACATATCGATATCCATAAATTACTGGGCAAGCGATAATTAAGCCTATATCTATCTGCTTATATCATTAACTTACTTACCTCTTGTATTGTATTTTCTGGCTTCTTCGTTGACATATTGAGGAATCGTTCTTGCGATTGACAAAATTTCTCCGTTTTTTTATCGAATTTTTTTTTGTTCTCCTTAACTCCGCCGATTTGTTTCTTTCGAAAATCTTCTAACGGTTCTATAATGTGTTTGTCTGCTAGTGTTAGCTACATGGATGGAACACAAGTGAAAAGAAGAATTCCGTTAATCAATGGATAGCACCAAAGCGCGTGAAAATGAAAACTCACCATTTTTTCACGTTCATCTTCTATTGTACTGATTATTTCACCAAAATGCTTTAAACTTTGGCATATCACCAATTCATCATCAGTTTGGGCTGTCCCGATACACTCAAAATTGAAATCTTTTAACGAGTCTGCCAACTGTTTCATCCGAGTCGACAATACTAAAAAAAGAAAGAACACAAAATTCAACATTAACATCATATTTAATATCGATAATGTTCATAAAGCAAGTAATGATTTGTCAATTTTTTGAAATCTTTCTTTGGCGAACTTGGAATAATGCTGCAATAGAACTATTAAGTAACATGCAACATATATAATAATATTGCAATATAGTTAGACTTAGATTATTACAAATGAAATTGAGTCAGAAATAATTATGACGGAGTGTTTTTCATCTTATTATTCATTAAATGTTGTAGTTAGTACTAACAACATCAATTAATAATTATTGAGAAAATAGTTACTCTCCTTACCCTGTATTCTATTCGTTTCTATTCTATGCTTACGTGCATATGTGTGTTAACACCGAAATCTTGCTTTTGCATTTTTTTATTTTTTTTTTATTTTTTATATATATTTGTTTATTTTTTTTTTTTTTTTGGAAAATTATTTTTATACTCAGCGAAGCCCAGAAAGAAGCCTCAAAGATCTCATAATATATGTAATCTTGATTATCCATCCAATTCTAAACCGTCTGTCGGCAGATATTCTCATTATCGTAAAAATGCTCCAATCGGCTTCAAATTGCACAGAAAGATTGAAAATTCTTGCATAATAAGATTGAGAGAAATTGGACAAAGGACATGACCACAGTGCATCATAATCTGTGACTAGTTCTGCCGTCAAACATAAAAAAAAAAAAAATGTGTTTTACTAGTTACTTATAAAACACAACAGATACAAGGATAAAAATTTGCATTTACATTCCATGGGTTCAGGACTTGTCCAGCAGCAGCAGCAGCAGCATCTGCAGCTCCTATACACAAATGGAGAAACCCCCTGAATTTCTGTGCAAATCCACGCAGCTTTATTGCCTTGGTCGAAATGGTATTTTAAAATATATAGTGAGATTTTTTGTGAGAGCAAGTGTCACAATTGCTCTTTTCTTTTTTTTCTGACTATCTCTATGAGCTCTCATCTCTCTCTTTCTCTCTCCCTGGCGAGATGGATCTAAAATTTTCCTTTTTTAGATTACATCTATATATATATATATATATATATAACTTTTTCCACGACGGTATCAATTATCAGTGCATTCTGTTGAGCATAGTCTCAAGATCGTGAGATGGCCAGCAACCATAAAAGATAAAGAAAATTGTCGGCTAATGAACGTGAATAAAATGATTTGGAATCTTACCTTGAGATAGATAATGAATGTTTACATACATATGTTTCGAAAATGTGTTAATATAGAGAAAATATTACACAAAACCACAAAACTTTAAATAAATTCATGTTTAAAAATAAAATTTATAGTCAACAAGTATGTGAGAATTAGGTTATTGGTTAGGTTATTGTGCGATATATTTACGCAGTTTTTATACGCACATAACACGATGCATCAAATTAAATATCTAAAATCACTTTTTCATCATTTATCTCAATTACGTACTCGAACCATGGAAAATATTATTTATTCACTTTAAATTATTTTTCTTTATTGACCGGGAGTTTAGGACGCATCAGTTCGAACCCTCGTCTCTTTACCCATCACACTTGTTGTACATGTTTCGAAAAACTCAAACTTATATATAAAAAAGTTTTTGCCGGTTTTATGGTGAGTGCAGTCACCAATCGCTTCAATTACTGGTATCTGCCTGCTAAAGCGAGTTTATCTTAAAATGTTTTGCGAGCTCATCCTGATCGTTTTTCGATCAAAGATACTGTTGAAATTGACGGCTTGTTGCCAGGAGTGTTTTAACGATTCATAGTATACCTCGTCCATTTAATTCAAACAAGCACCAAACATTATTCTTTCCTGAAACGATATGGTTTTGCTTTCAATTTTGTTGCTGCCCTGAGCTGATTTAAATTTGCCTTTTCTTATATGCATCCATTTTTCAGAGTCCATCATAATACAATGAGTAGATGATTTTTCTTCATATTTTTCAATCATCGCTCTTTGGCTGGTGAGGTTTCAATTGTCCCCTTATCTCTCTCTCTCTCTCTCTCTCTCTTTCTTTCTTTCTTTCTTTTATTCTCTCTTATACTCAGTTGGATCACATTTAGTGATCCAGATCAGGAATTAGCCATTAATTGTTTCATTTGCTTAATTAAATTCATAAGCCTTCAAATGTATTCGGTGCTGCACCTGCATAACCTTCATTGCGTCCCATCGATGTGATATGTGGCAGAAAACTTTAAAATAAATGCAACTTTTTTTCAAGTTGCTTAACGTAATTTAACGGCACTGAAAAAAGAAAGAATTTATATTTAAGCTAGAGAAGGAGTTTTGGTGGCACAATTGTTCCTCTCAGTAGGCAGATGTGGCTAAATAAATATCTTTTATTATATTTCTATGCCTATTAATAATATGCACGCGTATAACGGCGAACACACCCAACATATCCGCAACAATAATTTGATAAAAATTTCTTATATGGAAACTTTTCAATTGCCCGCCCACCTGTTCATTAAGCAATAATATAAACTATTAGGAAACGTTTGCATATGTGTGTGTGTGTATAACATACAAGAGAAAAGAGCAAATGAATCGAAAAGGACAAATAACGATGAAATAGAATAAAATTTACTATCAAAAGATGAGGATTAACTTATGGGGTCAGGTAACTCTTTCTGACGCTGCCAATGCATTAATGCGTTATAAATTATAACGTTTTATAATCAATGTACGCAAAATAAGAACGGATTTTATTTTCACTAGATTATATAAACGCACCCCATCGTCCCACCGCCCCACCGCCTCTCCTTGCAAAAACAACAAATAAAAGGATTATATTTTTAAGTATTCGTTAACCCCGTTGACTGTCTTTGGAACAATCTGCGTGCGGACGTAGTCCCGATCACTCTTGAATGTAGAGAAACACAACATAGTTTTCCCCCTCCTCTACTCACAAGCCTCACTATCGCCCATTGAAAGCGTGTTCCCTACGTCGTTAATAATTAAAAAAAAAAAAAAAAAAAAAAATAAGGGTTAACTCCCTGTAATACCCGCCCATTCGCCTTAAAATAAAGAAAAACAAAAAAAATATATAGTAACATTTTTTTATTGTAAGCGTGTCAGGTGGCGGTCAGGTGTCTATGCTCTGTGCTTGTACTTTTACTTGCTTATCTAAGCACTTTTAGATGATTCTTGAAAGTGTTTGCTCTAAGTTCGAGGTCAACATCCACTAATCATCGTTTTTCGATTAACTAAACTGTGTGACATAATCGTCAGAATTTTTATGCCAGCGATCGTATCATCAACAAACGTTCGATAGATAAAAGGGCAGACAGCTAAACGTACCTGAATTTATAAAACATCCTACGCTCACAAATATATAGAACGCCTATGTCTGCTTAATACTGAAAGAAGGATAAAATCTATTCTAATTTTATGCATCAGTGAGGAAAGAAAAGAAAAATTTGAAACTAATTTTAAATATTAGGTGCTTGCATAGGAGCATTTTCGAACTTGCCCTGAATGTATCCGTACATAAATGCAACATGGCTCACATTACGCCGATGCTCAAGCGTATCGGGGGTTCTGGAGACGCTTTTGTCACCCATACGCGCCTAAGCCATTCGCTGTATGCTGTCAAGGGCCTACGAGCAAAGTTTGGAAGCTCCCGTCCATACTTGCGAATTATACTCTCATTTTGGCTGGATATAGGCGATGTAAGTGATATGGATATCGGTTGAAGAGAAGTATTTTTTCCATCGCTTCAGGAAACCTAAGCCCTTGACTGCGTGCTTTGTCACTTCGAAAATCATTTTGTATTCTCATGCCGAGAACATCAAGGGTTGCTGGCTCTTCTACATTGACATAAACAAAATCAAATCTATATCTGGATTGGATGATAAATAGTTAATAAAAGAATTTTTTTTTTTTTTTTTTTAAAGATTGACTTTTCCGATACAACGCCATTAGGTGACCATTGTTATCAACAAATTTTGAAAATTGCAATTTATGTCACGTAGCCACCTTTTTCCGAAATAAGGCAGAACGATCGCGAAAAAATGGTCCGATTTGCAGAAGCTTTCTATCTTTGCTCAAAAGATTTTAGTGTATTTCAATTTTGTGAAAGCATAATAAAAATGGCGATCTACAAATCGAACGCAAAAGTACAACGATAGATATCGGAACAGACAAACGGACAGACAATCCTACATCGATTAAGGGAAAGAGCCGGATTCCATTAGTATAATAGAAGATAAATCTGGCTTAAGTTCTTCTAGGCGTTACATACATCCGCATAAGCTTCATATACCCTAATCGTACCACGAAGGTAGAAAAATTCGTCTGATTCTCCTCTCAATTTTAGCCCTACCATATAAGCAACTATTTCTTTGGCGCCTCATTGCCGTGGATAAGAGATAGACAGAAACAGAGTCCTAGACAGACAGACAGACAGAGAGAGAGAGAGAGATATAGAGAGTGGGCTAGAGAGAGAGGGGGAGGGGAGACAGAGGGCTGGAGAGAGAGAGAGAGAGAGAGAGAGAGGGAGAGACAGTAATAAAATAAAAGCATTTAGCTATCAAAAATGCCTAATACGCATAAAGAGCAGAGGGTTATTGGTTTTTGTACTTTGAACGACAAATAATCCGTAAGCAAACAGTGATTAATTTTATTCAATTACAAAAGAACTTTTTGAAGTTTTTTATTTATCTATTTTTTTTTTTTTTTTTTTTCTTGCGTTAAAAACTTAAATGAGAGGCATTTAAATATTTATGTGCTTACATATCGATAAAAAAAAAATAAAAAAAATAAAAAAAAAACTAAACGTCCATGATATTTACTTCGCATAAAGTAAGAAACTGGAGAAAAGAACAACACACAGACACATAATTTTTTTTTTTTAATTAATCAAGACTCGATTCGCAATTGAACTAGGTTTGCCCAAGCAAGTCGTGGTTTTTGGCCTTAAGCTTATTTTGGTTAATCAATTTGATCATATGATCGCACGCAGTACAAATATCATATATGCGTGTACATTGA